CTCTCGATTCTGGGATGCTCCTCTAGTCTTGACAATCCGTCCATTTTGACCGAATTCTGTGCTTTTGGCAATCTGCACACGCAGCTGGTCAGCATCAAGCGAACCGACCATCAAGTATCTTTATAGAGTATTAGCTATTGGGTTGGGGAGAATGAGTCGGCGCCAAAATTTAAAGAAACTTTTTGCACCCATAAAACCTTCTTTAAATACACGGTTTGTTTCATCAAAATGGTCCACTATTTCTTTACAAAATGGCTTTTGAGAGATTCCACAAAGCTTTTCTTTTTTGGGATTTTATGGATTCCCAAACACAGCTAATCAAAATGACAAAAAGTCCGACTCATTGCTTGAACAGTTTCTTCCACATAAACCTCCTTTGGTGTTTATATAAAAAAGATAGAGCACACTCAATTACATAAGTTACCAAATTTTCAGGAAGATCCCTCCAACCGTTTACTCTAGATGACAGTTTATCGATTTTGTGAAAAAATGATCCTTTGTTGAGTTGAGGCGCTGTTTGAGTTCTCTTTTAAATATTATTTTGTAGAGAATTAGTTACCCTTCTACGGATATCAAACGCATATCATTTGACAAAGTCTGCTACAAGTTTTAGAAATTTCTTTGATTTTCGGCGCCGACTCATTCTCCCCAACCCAATAGAAAGTACTAAAGTTTTATCAAGACGGAGTCTTAATACATTTCTATAATCAATCCTCGTTAATTGCGAATCTGGAAAAAACGTTTATTATTAACCTTTCATTCGTTCATATCATCGAGGTTTGACTGTAGATTTTTTGTTTTCATATGAGCATGTTCTGTTATCCAGACGTTTCAGATTGCAACCAATGTAATTTTCGTTGAGGATCTGTATCGAATCGCCTGGGAGGTGGCGAGTGCACTGGTTAGGCGCTGCTCTGTATTTTCACTTTCTCGAAGTTTCAGTTTCTAGATCCTTTTTCAGTAGCAAAAATTTCACTCCACATTCCAGGAGTTCCTCGCCTCCAAAAATGTCCTCCATCGTGATGTGGCGGCGCGCAATATTCTGCTTACTTCGCAAAAAACATCTAAGGTTGTGATCGGGATTTACAATGAACTAAACATTAAAAATGACTAAAAAATTTAGCCATTTCATATGCATCGAAATTATAACCGATTTAGCTTTCCGACTTCGGGCTGAGTCGTAGCTCAAATAAGGCGCTCTACACTTCGCATGGCGGCTGTCTCCCCATCAAATGGACGGCTCTTGAGGCAATCGAGTTCGGTATATTTACCGAGAAAGCTGATGTGTAAGCTTCAGAGATGTCACCGTAAAGTTCTTAATAACTCTTGAATATTAATATAAATAATGAATAGTAATAATAATAATGAAAAGTTCACAACATTCGGTGATTTCACAGAAAAAGCTCTTTCAGCTGGTCATTTGGGGTTCTTCTCTGGGAAATGTTCTCTTTCGGTGACACGCCCTACGAGGATCTGGAGCCATCAAGACTGCTCGGCGAGCTGAAGAAAGGCTTTCGATTGATACCCCCGCACCGGACACCGACACAAATGTGAGACCTATTCAAGGGATAATTCTAATCTTCAGTTCTTATCTATTTACAAATAACTTTCCAGTTCGGAAGTGATGACTTCTTGTTGGAAAACCCGTCTCACAAACCGACCCACCTTCCAGACGATCACCCAAAAACTTTCGAGCTTCAACGAAAGCCAATTACTGACAAAGGGTTGCTGAGTGTGTGCATGAGTTGTTTTTGTATATTCTAACTGTTGTACTTTGTTTAGGGATGGATGAATAAATCTGGTTCATATCATGAAATATTTCAAGTACATTTTAAAAAGACTTTATTAGGAACCAAAATCAAGCATCAAATCGGCGCTAAAATAGCAGTCAAAATTCTTGGAAACTAAAATATAGTGGATGATCGAAAATCGTTCCAACAAATCGGGAAAATTGTTTGCTAATTGAAAGCCATGATAATGTGGTAGTCTCCGTTGGGACCGGAAATTTTAAGGTGCGCTAAAATCACGGAAACATCTTTTCAGCAGATTTCATGTCAAACGTCGCAATCAATTCAAAAACCTAAGTGTTATATAGAGAATTAAAGCCTGAATTCTTGCCTACATTTCTGTACCAAAAGATCTTTGATTGGAGTTTTATGGTCCATTTTTCAGACCCTCAAATGAGCCCAATCCGACCAGTCACGCTTCCATTCTCAGCTGTTTTCAAACTACAAAACTTGTATGTAGAAAGAATTTTCCAATAATAAAAAAATTTTATTTATTCCTTTTTTACAAGCCATTTCTTGAAGTCGACTTGTAAATAGTAGAATAAAGTGTTCTTGAATTGGTGGATTTGTTTTTGCGAAATTCGAGTTCAAATCGTTCCGAAGACTTTTTTTTGTTGCCAACCCAATATTTGTCACTATTATTTGTTGTCAGCTAAGTTGTAGACTAGACATGGGAAAATTCCAGCCCGAACCTAATTTCACTTTCATTTTCTTGACTGATTCTTGACTGATTTTAGGGGAAAGCTGCTATTATTAAGTATGACTTGTTGCCATTTATTGGGCAAAGCGTAGATTCTCTTCTCCCAAAAGCTACGGGACTGCCGCTTGAAGGAGTCGATCTAATTTTTTCGACTTCCCCCGCATCTCCAAAGTGCTCATTGGCCAAATCAACAGCCATTCTTGAAAAGATCAAATCACTAGGAGCCAAGGCAGGCGCATGCTGGAGAACTTCTAAGCCTAAAGTCTTCAGTTTTTCCTTAATCAAGTTTGCAACATGTAATCATGTTTCAAAATAACTTTGCTCATGGTTGGCCTCTTTTTACACTTCAGAAGCGACTCGATCCAATTGATCAACGTCTAGGGATACCTTGATAGTTGTCCCTTCTAGCAACTCCCAGTAAATAAATAACAAGATCTTCTTCTGGTGAATTTCGGGCTTGGGATCCGCTTTGGTTTTTCACCTGGAGCAATTCATTGTTTATGTCTCCAAAATTTGACATAGGTTTCCGATTTTTCATCGCTTGTTATCAGGTGGGAGGAAAAAGATCAAAAGTGATAACACGAGAGTAGATACAGACAGCCACTTACATTCCATCACATCAGTCAGCTCATGTGGAAGCCACGAGCCGAATTTTAATTTATAGCCCATAGATTAAAGATGACTGTGATATGATCACACTGAAGCTGCGCAGCTAACTCATTGTTGTTTGTTTGTTGTCATCGCGTGTAAGAGTCAGAAGAGTGGATCCATCAAGATCAGTCGATCGCCCTGACCTGATCTTTAAGAGAAAACTCGTTCTTTTGAAAGCGATGATACCAATTGTAGATGGTTTTCCAGAGTCACCTACTGCTTGCCCGTAAAGATCGTTAATTTCCTTTTCAGTGCAGATGCAGTTTTTTAAAGTAAAATAGAATAGAATGGCACGCCAAAAATGTCCTTTGGATAGATTGTCGATAGTTTCAAGATAAGTTCAAAAATAAAACAGAATTAAACAGTATTTCATTCCCTATTTTCAGAGATCAATAATCAAGATTGGACAATCTAATAAGTGGACACTCTAGGGGCGAACTTGAAAAATAAACAGACATATCCTTGTATTAGAAGTTTTACGGTATCGGTTTTACGGTAAACCTATACTTTCAAAGTGTCCCCCTTGCCTCCTCAGCTGAATATCTTCTAGTTTCGTGGAGAATTTCAAACAAAAGTGGCAGCTACGAAAAATCTACGCAGAAAAAGGAGTGGAGCTTCGTAGCTCTCATACCTACCCAATTTGTTTGAATTTTTGCACAGAATTAAAAGATATTCAACTAGAGCTCAGGGGATACTTTGAAAGTATCATTTTTGTATCATTTGTATCATTTGTATCATTTGTATCATTTGTATCATTTGTATCATTTGTATCATTTGTATCATTTGTATCATTTGTATCATTTGTATCATTTTTATTAAAAAAATGCCATGTCTTGAGCAAATTACCCGGCAAGGAAAATTGAGAAATTGACAATTGTTTGTGGGACAATTGTGGACGTCAAAACAAGGTAAAGAAAGAAAAGAAGAGGACCGGCGACTGAGAGGAGTGGGATCGTTGTCTGGAGGTTTGGATCATATTCCTCTAAGAATAATAGACTTTTGGTCTATCTAATGACTTTGGTAGTCAGAATCGTTTAACTGGTTCAGTTTCAGAAGTTAAAAGCATTTTTTACAAATTACAATTTTTTTAAAAATTTTACATTTCCGACAATTAATTTCTTTTTATTTTGCTTCTAAACGATGTTGCAAGTGTTCAATTTTCAGCGCTTCAATTGTGCCCTGGTGTACTCTCAGTACAAAGGATGATCAAAGGTCAGAGATCCTGCAGAACAATTCTTGCAATTCGCTGTATCACTGGACTTAATTAATTGTCTCCTATTAAGTCTATGGGATAACAATTATTGGCAGATCTTTCGATTTCCCTAAATTGCATGAGAGTTAAATTCCAATTACTTGTAAGAGACGGCGAGCTTTCTAAAGCGTGGATGCGCTACCGTATCCCGCACAAAAATCCGCTTTTGCCATTTTTTTCATTCTTCCGCATTTCATGATGGGCTCTTTATCCAGCTTTTATGCCGATTGCCGCTAAGTTTTCTTCCCCCTCGTAAAATTTATTGTTTTTGTAGCGCGTTTTTGTTTTAGTTTGTTGCTTAAATTTCTAATACGGTTTTATTTCGGTTTCTTCCACTCCAAATCGAAATAATCTGCTACGGCGCGAGCTTGTTATTTCGTCTTGGGTTTCGTGTGAAATCATTTTAGAAAAGCATTGTAACGGCTAAATGTGTTAGTTAAGAGAGTTAGTTACTAACTTGGACAAACAGCAGAGCTTATTCATCTCAACATTTCTTTACTTCTTCAATTTTGCAATATTTTATCTACCAGGAATTGCAGTTTTGTTCCTTTGCCAATTTGCTTGTTTTTATCTTATTTTATTCGTCAAACATTTCAGTTATCAATCAAGAATGCTCACCTCGACTCAACAAATCTTCAAGTCTTTCAATTGTCCCAAATGTGACACACCATGTGAGTTGATTTTGAACCAAATAATGAGGCTAACTCAATTCGAACGATCTCTAGAGTATTTTCAACATATTTCAAGTAGTACTACAGCGCTTCTGCTTGCTTTTCAAGTATAATCGGCTTTGAGATAGTGTTTGGTGGCTAAAGTACGTCAGAGTAGGCAAATTATCGGCTAGAATCATCAAAAGCCCTTGAAGCTGCTGCATTTAAACGAACCGGCCAAGAATATCCGAAGAATCCTCCAAATCCAAAACTTTAAAGCCAGCTCGGTTCAGCCCAAAATTTGCCAAATACAGTTTACACTTTAAAACTTTTGACACACAAAATGACAACATTACGTACACAAAATGAGATGTAATTGCTTATTAAAAATGATACAATTTTCTGTCACGCAATTACATTTTTTAGACTCGAAGACGGCAGGCGCAGAGAATACACCAACGCAGACTATTTGCTCTTTTCAAGAATTTCCAGAAATTTGTATGGGATGTTACGAAAAGCAAAGAAAAATCGATGCAAGATGTCCAGTGCATTCACTTTCGAATGGATCGGGTTGTTTTGATCGCGAGCCAACTCCATCGTATTACTTAATGGGTTAGATTTTTTAAACAGTAAAAATCAATGAATCCTTCTTTAAGAGCTGCTCTCAAGTGAGGCTTTCAAATTGGATCGGCAAGGGAAAGGATATGTGCAAACAACCCAATCAATCACAATTCCGGAATGTCCGGTTTGCCATCAGAAATGTGGGTGATGCTTGGTTCTAAAAAGCAATACAAGTTTAGATTCGTTGAGAGATGCCAAAAAAGAGCCATGCATTCTCCATTGTGGACATACTGTGTGTAATGAATGTTTTTACCGAAGGGCCCAAAGGGGTTTTTCGTGCTCCGCGCACAAATGCCCACTCTGCCAAGCCAATAGTTTTCACATCGTTGGAAAGGCATGGGGGGAAAATCGACTTAAAAGTTCGTTTTGGAAAGTGAAAACTATTAGTAATATTAATACTAAAACAGTAATCAATTTAGCCTTTCTGCGAGAACTTGAAGAAAAATCGACGCAAAAAGAAGCTGAAATGAAAAGCATTTGTGAAGATTGTGGAAAGGAGGTTTGATTGAGATTCTGGTTGAAGAAAAGACTCTTTAGGTGTCTCTCCTCGAAATGTTCCAATGCATGGATTGTGGGGGTAAAATGGTAAATGAATTTTGATTAAACAAGTAAGAGATCACTGCAGTTATGCTCTCGATGTGTTTGCAAGAATCATCATCCTCATCAGATTATCGATCTTGAAGTTGTTGAGGTTGTCATAATCTAAGAGCTTCCTGGAGTAAATTGTACTAACTTTTCAGACGAAGAAACTGGAGCAAGTGACTCGCGAAACGATCATCCCACAAATTGAGGTCTACAATGTCTGTTTCCCAGAGCTCCAAGCGAATTTGATCAAGAATTTCAATGAGTGCCAAAAGGTGAAAACTTTGATTAGAAAAAGTTGATGAGCCTGTGTTTTCAGAAAATTCTCAGTCGAACCGATCAACTCGGTTACCTCAATGGGTTTGCAGAAGTAAATGAGCAACAGAAGGCTTGCATGTGAGTTTTAAACGATCCAATTAAGCAAAAAAGAATGGCACATAAAAAAGAACTTTTGATTACTATAATTTTTTCCGAGAGTGTGTCAAGCTAGAGGTCCCACCGCGCACAACGGGTACAACGAAATGTAAAGATTAAAATCGTAGAACACAGAAATCCAAACAATAACTTTTTTAAGTTGCTACCCAGCTAGCACAAAAGACATTCTTTCATCGAAATCCTTCTACGGGAAAGAAAGTTATTTCACTGAACTTTTACACAGCACAATGCTATTGCATTTTGTCCAATATAAATGAGATAGTTATTAGTTTTATACAGATTTATAAAAATTCAATAAGGCATCGGACAACAATCTAAAAAAAAGGATTTCTATGAAAGAATGTTTTTTATGCTAGCTGGATAGCAACTGGATAGCAACGATTTTAATTTCGTACTCGATGTGCCCCAAGCTAGGCACAGGCTAGTGGAACAACGCCATATTGCATATGTTCTCCCACTGTTAACAGGAAATATCCCAAAAGCTTTTTCTATTCTTATTGTTCATTTTGAGGGCATTTGGCGAGAGATTCGAGACGATTTGCGAGAAATATTTGGGTGAATTGCGATCATTCAACACCGGTATTGAGGTGAGTGCATTTGACATAGGAAATTGGATTTAAAATTGAGTAAATGGATTTGAATTTATGTAATTTCTATTCAAAACTCTCAACCTGTTGTTTTCATATAATGAATTCGAAAATAGTCAAACTGGCAAAACTAAACGATTCAGAAGCTCATCGATGACATCAACGAGTCGCCAAAATGAAATGAAAATCTTTGAACTTTCTCTATTCTAACATGTTTCACTCTTACTCAAGTTTTGTCAATGCAAATGCAGTTTCGTTTATTTAATTTATTTTTATTTTGAGTGTTTAAAACTTGTCCACTTTCGCAATGCGCAAGATAAGCAATCAACAATTCTCTCAACTTACTTTTCGTTGTGTGTTATTGCCAAGTTTTCCTCTAGTATTATCTTGATTTCTTGCTGATTTTAATAAATTCATTAATTGCAAAGAATAAAAATTTGCAAACAACAATTTATGCGGTAATTTGAAACAATATGACAATTTGGCAATCAATCAAAGATTGGCCAAGTGGTCTACCAAAAGCGCCAGCGGTAATTTTTGGGAAAGGGGCTACTAAGTTTTGAATATTTTCTAATTTCCTCTATTCTAAAACATTTATGCTTTGAACCAATCACGAGAAAGTGAGCACAAATCAACGAACCTTTAAAGGTTTCAATTGTTCACTTTGTCAGCGACCGTGTGAGCGATTTAATTCGAAGAAAACTTGAATGATTGGATAAACAAACGATAACTAATTGTAAGCAAAAGCCATAACCTAAGCCCTAGGATCAATAAGCCAGGCAAAGCTAGAAGCTAGTTCCAGTCCTCACAGGGGAATGATCCACACACAAGGTGATAAGTTTTGGCGGGACCAGGTTACAAAACAACCTTTTATTTTTTGCTCAAATTCAGAATTGGTCGAGAAGAGGACCGGCGACTGATAAAAGTCTCTTTTGTCTCGTTTTTGAGGTTTGCATACTGAGGAAATGAATAATGAAATTGATGTTACTTTAAAGATTAGAGCCATGATCATCAACTAGATTTTCTAAAGTTCTACAGATTATTTAGCTGTTGTTATTTTTTAAACCGAAACCTTTAACAAGATCGGCCATCCATTTCCATTCAGTGGATGCTCAAATAAAAGAATTGAGATAAAAACGATGAATAAAATGGAGACAAAATGAATTGCCCATGTGCGGAGCCTGGGGCTAAAATTTTTGGGCTTTTCAGCAAAAAGAACTCAAAAAAATTACGGTAGCCAATATTGTGAAATTGAATAAAACATGAAAGTTGCAAGCCTGAATAATAATATGAATAATATTAGCTTGATGAATTTACCCTTAATCACTTTTTTGTACTTTTGTTTAAAAATAATCATTTAACTGTCTGGCCTACGGTTTGCTTCATTAGAAAGGTTTACTATTTTTCTACAAAATAGCATTTAAATTTTATGTAAATGTTTTTTTATGGGAGCGTGAAGTCAAGAAAAAAAAGCGACAACTCGACGACGCAATTTTGCACTTTAGTTTACAGAACTTATTTTGGCGTTAATAGAGAAAAGAAAGAGCATAAAAAGTTAGGCTTATGGCCAAATTTTTAGAGCAATCTGTTCGACCAGTTTCTTTGTAGGACTTTTTATCGAATTTTGCGAAAAACTAGTTTTTGCCCTCGTATTTATCTGGAAACAGACTAAAATCGGGTTGAAATGATAGAAAAGTGAATGCTAAACCTTTTCTATTTAAAGCAAATCGTAGGTCAATTGATAATTTAGTCATTGCTAAGCATATGTACAAAAAAGTGGTCAAGACTTGTTCATCAAGTTAATATTTGAAGTTCTTAAGCCAAAGCAAGCGATCTCAATGTTGGTGCTTTATTCTTTCAAGTGTCAGTTGTCTAACTAGTGATTGCTGTAGTAATACTTGAACTTTTTAGACTGGTTCCAATAGTTCCATTGCAGTAAACATTCAAAAAATAAATTTGACAATACAGTAACTTCTTCCTCATTTTCCTCTTCCCCAGCCGGCACCGATCTGTACACATTGGCCGGTCATAGTGGAAAATTAACTTTTCAGCTCAATAAGTCAAGTTTCAATTTCAGTTACATTCCGATTCCACTTATTTCTTCCGTTGTTCGGTGACCACATCCGGTTCCGTTTGGTGGTATCAAGATGTAAGTGTAGCCGCTAATTACTGTACAGAACTTCATTCCCAGGTGACTCTCGGCCAAATAACATGTCACTATTGATCGATTATCTTAAAATATCGAAACTTTATGTAAAATGTAAGTGTAAGATGTAAGTGTGAGCGATGATTAGTGTACAGAACTTCCTTCCCAGGTAACAATCGACCAAATCGCATGTCATTATTGATGTTAAAATATCAAAATTTTATTTAAAAATAGATTCACTGAAGAAAATATTGGCAATCAAATTCTCAAAGAGGATAAAGGAGAAGTGCATCATTTTTTACAAGATGTATATGGGACTTCTACCGTAATCAGCCACCAGACGATATTCAGTTCTCCGTTTATTGTAACTCTGTGTACTCTAAAAACCCATTTTCTAAGCTTGAGAATTGCCAGTTTTTTCTTTTGAATTTTGGTCTCTTTTCTGGAAATTTGGGGGTTTTGGGGTTTAACTGGGGTTTAACACTGATATTTTTTCGGCACTCATTTCGGCACACAGTGCCGAAATGACAGTGTTAAACACTGCTATTTTTTCTTTTTCTTATCAGTGTTAAACCCCAGTAAGAATATCGGCACTGTGTGCCGAAATGAAAACGAAAAATGGTGGGCAAACAAACAAAATTCGATTCGGATTGGTGAATTGGAGATAAGATATACAGTGTCTTTGGTGTTGTTGAGGGATTTCGAGTGGATTGATGGATGTGAATGGAAAGGGGATGTGAGGAAATTGAATGATTGTACAGCGATGAATATCGATGATAATATTTGGGCAAGAGAAGCTGGCGATGATGGTTTTGAGGCAATGGGGAGGGTATTTGAAGAGCGGTGGGGATGGGGTGAAGTGAGGAGATTGATTATGGATGTCAGTCACAAGTAATAGAGATATTTGTATGGATTAGGATTTAATTGTCAGCGGCGGAAGATTGAAGATTGGTCTATTGTACCCTTGTAACATTGTACCATTGTACCGATCATCACACAAATTGAGGTCTACAATGTCTGTTTCCCAGAGCTCCAAGCGAATTTGATCAAGAATTTCAATGAGTGCCAAAAGGTGAAAACTTTGATTAGAAGAAGTTGATGAGCCTGTGTTTTCAGAAAATTCTCAGTCGAATCGAACAACTCGGTTACCTCAATGGGTTTGCAGAAGCAAAGGAGCAACAGAAGGCTTGCATGTGAGTTTTAAAAAATTAATCAAAAAAAATTAATCAAATTAATCAAAAAAGAATGGCACATAAAAAAGAACTTTTGATTACTATAATTTTTTCCGAGAGTGTGTCAAGCTAGAGGTCCCACCGCGCACAACGGGTACAACGAAATGTAAAGATTAAAATCGTAGAACACAGAAATCCAAACAATAACTTTTTAAAGTTGCTACCCAGCTAGCATAAAAAACATTCTTTCAGAGAAATCCTTTTACTAGAAAAAAAGTTATTTCAATGAACTTTTACACAGCACAACGCTATTGCAATTTGTCCAATATAAATGAGATAGATATTAGTTTTTTTACGGATTTATAAAAAATTCAATAAAACATCAGACAACAATCTAAAAAATAGAAACAAAAAAGGATTTCTATGAAAGAATGTTTTTTATGCTAGCTATTGGGTTGGGGACTATGACTCAGCGGCAAACTTTAAAGACACTTTTTGCACGCATAAAGCCTTCTTTAAATATACATTTTCTTTCATCAAAAGGATCCACTATTTCTCTACAAAATGACTTTTGAGAGATTCCACAAAGCTTTTCTTTCGTGGAGTTTATGAACTTTCAAACGCAGCTGATCAAAATGGCAAAGAGTCCGACTCATCGTTTGAACAGTTTCTTCCACATAAGCCTTCTTTGGTATCTATGTAAAAAAGATAGAGCACATTCAATTACATAAGTTGCCAAATTTGCAGGAAGATCCCTTCAACCGTTTTTTTCTAGATGACACTTTGTAGTTTTTGTGAAAAAATGGCCTTTTCTTGAGCTGAGGCGCTGTCTGAGTTTTCCTTTAAATGTCATTTTGTAGAGAATTAGTTAACTTTTCTACTGATATCAAACGCGTATTATTTGACGAAGTCTGCTAGAAGTTTTAGAAATTTTTTTGATTTTCGGCGCCGAGTCATAGTCCCCAACCCAATAGATAGCAACTTTAAAAGTTGCTCGTCGTTTGGATTTCTGCGTTCTACGATTTTAATTTTCTGGCACAGGCTAGTGGAACATAATGCTAGCTATGTTCTCCCACTGTTAACAGGAAATATCCCAAAAGCTTTGTCTATTTTTATTGTTCATTTTGAGGACATTTGGCGAGAGATTCGAGACGATTTGCAAGAAATATCTGGGTGAATTGCGGTCATTCAACACCGGTATTGAGGTGCGTGCATTTGACATAGGAAATTGGATTTAAAATTGAGTAAATGGATTTGAATTTCTATTCAAAACTCTCAACCTGTTGTTTTTATATAATCTGAATTCGAAAATGGTGAAAGTGGCAAAACTAAACGATTCAGAAGCTCATCGATGACATTAACGAGTCGCCAAAATGAAATGAAAATCTTTGAACTTTCTTTATTCTAACATTTTTCACTCTTACTAAAGTTTTGCCAATGCAAATTCAATTTCATTTATTTATTTTATTTTTATTTTAGTTTAGCACGTGTTCATTTTCGCAATTCGCAAGATAAGCAATCAATATTTCTCTCAACTATCATTTCGTTGTGTTATTGCCAAGTTTTCCTCTAGTGTTATCTTAATTTTTTGCTGATTTTAAGAAATTCATTAATTGCAAAGAATAAAAATTTGCAACGGACAAGTTGTCCTGTATAAGATCACCCAGAAAAGAATCAAACAGTCAATGAGTCAGTACAGGTGCTTGTAAGTATTTGTCCGATTGTATGCACCACCGTATGTTCAATGTACCCAAGCGCTTTTAGGGTCTTCTAACCTATTCTTCTATTTTTAATAGGTTAGAACTTGGACAAAAAACGGACAACGGCTTCAGATTCGCCGGCCCCGAAAACTCCCATATGCAAATTTTCAGCTCAATAGCTGAATTTTGTAGAGAAATATTACATGACATGACAACATGCCACGCTGTCGTCAGTGTGTTAAGAAATTTTTTTTGCTCTTACCTTTTCACAGTTTTGTCGGAAAATATTTAGCCTAATCAGCAAAGTGCTGAAAATAACAATAAATTTCTGGCGCAACAAAATGTAAGAAAGACAACGCATGACGTTTTTGTTCTTTGTGCTTATGAACAAGCAATAAAATCCAAAATCAAAAATTTTTAGACATCGTTGAATGATTTAATTGAAAAGACCAAGATGTCGTCACCTCACTGAAAAAGCTCCAACATGGGGTTTTTTTTCGGGCATTTTCGAAGATTGTTAAAAGTTTTATTCACGCATCATCATATTTGATTTTAATGTGGATAGTGAAGTAATAAAATAAACACTAAAGAAATATTTCAAAAGGGCAGGCGGATGGGGTAGGCGAATTTCCGGAATTGTTTTTTTGCGCAACTCGCCATAACTTTCTCCTAAGTGGGCCAATCTTTATGATTTTGGTTTCATTTTGTTGCACTTATTGAGATCTACAAAATGAAATTATTTGTTTATAGAATGCACTTTCCTGGTAAGATTTCCTGGTAGCATTCAACTTTTTAATGTTTAGCATTGGTGTGCTTTTTCACTTTCTTCACTCAAGCCCAAGCTGTTTGTGACATTGGACAAGACTTGGGAATATTTCTGTGTTCCGATAATTACGTTCAAGCTATTGGTCTGCAATTGAAGGTTAGCTATAACTGATCTGGTAATGGACACGGATTAGACCAAGGCCAGATCAATAACTCTCATTGTTAGTGGATGGACTTGGCTGCCAAGCTTTGCTCTTGCTCTTGCTCTTGCTTGCTTTGCAAATCTATTCGAGCTCAAAATATTATATTGGATCGACTGCTATTATCATATTTATGGAAATACCCGAATGAAGCTTCAGCCAGAGTTTCACTCATCACCACTAGCGTAACGACCCATAAATGTTGCAGTATTAGGCTTAGGAGTCACGAGGATCTGAAATTGGAATAATCTGGAATAATCTTTAAAACATTGTAAAACTAGTTGTTTCTAGCTGGCTTTTTCCCACCATTTCTACTCGTCGATGCAGCTCAGCGAGAGTTTCTGCGAAAAGAACCCGATTATTTGCCCAAAGTTTGCAGGTGGTCAATAGAAAACAAAAGTTTGATACGATAATAAGAAACTACCAATCAAATTCACTTATTTATATTCTTTTCAGCGCCACTTCTGATCTCTACGATTGTATCGATGGAGCCGTGCAACAAGACTGTATTGAGACTCTTTTAGTCGGTCCGGTTTTGATAATTTATTCAAAAGAGGCAGTAAAGTCAGAGAAATGTAGCATGTTTATGCGAAGTTCCATAGTAAATTTGTTTTGAACCTTTAGATGGAGCTGAGTATTGGATGCATTTGTACACTTCTTATTATCAATGCACGAAAAGATATGCAAGTAAACTAATCGAAAATTGTAGAGTTTTATGAAATTCAGCTTGGGAAAAAGATTTCTCTTGTATCAATGATGCCCATGACAAGAATTTGAACGATTTGAGGGTTTGGGAAGTTTTCGAACTCAAAGAAATCAGTTCAGAAATGCTCAACGGATCTGTTCAATGGTATGCTTATTGGAGGAGATGTTTGTCTGTGAGTTGCTTTTTAAAAGATCCAAAGTTTCGAATTTTCAATTGAAAATTCAGTACTTTTAACACTTACATCGGTTGCCGGGCTCCTTACTATCAAAAAAAATTCAATGATTTCAATGCTGGGGTTTTCTTTTGCATAACGGATCGAGTGGCTGTGGTGGGTAACACGATTAATAAAGAGAATTCAGAACTATTTACATTCAGAACTTACATGGTTTAGGTGGCTTTTGAAAGTTTAAGTGGCTGACTTTGAATTAACAGTCCAGCTTCAAACTTTTATAACTTTCCTTAGAAACAACATTTGCATTTACTTTTTCTATATTTTAAGAGAAAAACTTGATTTCTAGCTTTCGAATGAGACCCAATAGAGCTAAATTGGAAAGATCAATGCAGAATCGGTAGAATCGAAGCAGAACCCCACTAATTGGTTGGTTTAAATTCTTTGATTTTCTCAAGGTCAGTTGAATTATGTTTAGTATCATTTAAAAGCCTGAAATTTTTTCTCAAAATATATCAAAAGCGAATGGAAATGTTATTTCTGAAGAAACTTATAAACCTTTGAAGCTTGACTGTCAATTCAAAGGTCACCTAAACCAAGCAAGTCTAATTGATACACTCAATAAAATGAATAGCTCCAATCGATTCCCGACCCCGGAAAAATCGAGTCATTCCGTGCTTTATGTTGCAGCCAACTGATCCGGGATTTTTTATCAGATCGGAAAAGCTTTCGACCCAAGTCAAAAACCGAAAAAATCTTTGCTTTTCTTGCTTATTTGCCTTGAAAAATGCAATTTTCCGGTGAAATTTATTGAGAATTTTCACAAACTAACTAAATGATTTCAGGGTTAGCGGTGTTTCTTTTCGCTTTCTTCACCCAAATACGCGCCTCATGCGACATTGGACAGGTGGACACAATAGCTTTGTGCTACGATGTCTACATGCAAGCTTTTGGTCTACCAAGTTTATTGGGTGAAGTTTTTATGTGAAATCAAAATATGAGATTTTCCGAAAATTGATCAATTTGCTTTTTTAGAATAAATGAATTGGTTGGTGTAAATGATTTCAAAGACTTTGTTGGATCATGGACTTAGCTTTACCCAAATCACACAATCTAAATAAATAGTACCCTAAAAATTGTCTGTGAATTAGCAATCACCATTTAGTAATTATTGAAAAGTTTCAAATCAGATGCATTCAGGCTTTACTGCTAAATTCCAACGGATCGTTGATTTGTCGATGATGTGTGTGAGACAGATTGAGTCATGATAGTGTTTTGAGAAGGGAGAAGTTTGTCCAATCTGAACAAAGCTCATGAACTCATTAGCTTTGTTCAAAATAAGTCTTACTTCAGCCATCGATTTGCTTTCTCGATAATAAACTTTCGATACGGTTCGACTAGGAAACAATTCGATATAGAAGACGTTGTTGCATGAGTGTTGGCAAGGAAAATGGAGAAATTGACAATTGTTTATGGGACATTGTGGACGTGAAAACAAGGTAAAGGAAGAAAAGAAGAGGACCGGTGACTGAGAGGAGTGGGATCGTTGTCTGGAAGTTTGGATCATATTCCTTTAAGAATCATAGCTTTTTGGTCTATCTAATGACTTTGGTAGTCAAAATCGTTTAACTGGTTCAGTTTTAGAAGTTAAAAGGTCTTTTACAACCACAATAGATCAATGAAACGATAAAGATAAAATCCAAGCTTCAGCTCAGTTTCAGAAGTTTGACTAACTAGACATAACTTTTGACAAATTCTTTTCCGACAATTAATTTCTTTTCATTTTGCTTCTAAACGATGTTGCAAGTGCTCAATTTTCAGCGCTTCAATTTTGCCCTGGTGTACTTTCAGTACAAAGGATAATCAAAGGTCAGAGATCCTGCAGAACAATTCTTGCAATTTGCTGTATCAATGGACTTAATTAATTATCTTCTATTCTGGGATAACAATTATTGGCAGATCTTTTTTATTTAAATACCTATTGTTTTAAGAGACGGCGCGCTTTCTAAAGCCTGGATGCGCTACCGTACCCCGCACAAAAATCCGCTTTTGCCATTCTTTTAATTTTTCTGCATTTCAGGATGGAATCTTGATCCAGCTTTTACGCCGAGTGCCGCTAAGTTTTCTTCCCCCTTCGTAAAATTTATTGTTTTTGTAGCGCGTTTTTACGGTGCTCTCTCTTTTCCCTCGTTCGTTCCCTCTCTTTTATATTATTTACCCATATTTGGTTGTTTAAATTTCTAATACGGTTTTATTTCGTTTTCTTTTCGGTTTCTTTTACTCCATTGTTCTGAATCCGTTCACACATGCCGTATAAACTCAACTTTACCAATTCCTTTTAAGTAAAACCCAATCTAAATAATCCGCCACGGCGCCAGCTTGTTATTTCGTCTTGGGTTTCGTGCGAAATCATTTTAGAAAAGGATTGTAACGTCTAAATGTGTTAGGTAAGGGAGCTAGTTACTAACCTGGGCAAACAGCAGAATTTATTCATCTCAACGTTTCTTTACTTCTTCACTTTTCTAATATGTTATCTACCAGGAATTGCAATCGTATTCCTTTGCCAATTTGCTTGTTTTTATCTTATTTTAATCGTCAAACATTTCAGTTATCAATCAAGAATGTTGACCTCGACTCAACAAATCTTCAAGTCTTTCAATTGTCCCAAATGTGACACACCATGTGAGTTGATTTTGAACCAAATAATGAGGCTAACTCAATTCGAACGATCTCTAGAGTATTTTCAACATATTTCAAGCAGTACTACAGCGCTTCTGCTTGCTTTTCAAGTATAATCGGCTTTGAGATAGTGTTTGGTGGCTAAAGTACGTCAGAGTAGGCAAATTATCGGCTAGAATCATCAAAAGCCCTTGAAGCTGCTGCATTTAAACGAACCGGCCAAGAATATCCGAAGAATCCTCCAAACGCAAAACTTTAAAGACAGGTCAGGTCAGCTCAAAATTTGCCAAATAGAGTTTAGACTCTAAAACTTTTGAAGTACACAAAATGGGATGTAATTTCTTATTAAAAATGATACAAGTTTCTGTCATGTAATTACATTTTTTAGACTCGAAAAAGGCAGGCGCAGTGAATACACCAACGCAGACTCTTTGCCCTGCTATTCAAGAAATTTGTATGGGATGTTACGAAAAGCAAAGGAAAATCGATCGAAGAATCAATCCAGTGCATCAATGCGGTGAATGGGGTTGTTTTGATCGCGAGCCAACTCCATCGTATGACTTAATGGGTAAGATTTTTTTAAACAGTAAAAATCCATGGAACCTTCTTTAAGAGCTGCTCTCAAGTGGGGCTTTCGAATTGGATCGGCAAGGGAAAGGATATGTGCAAACAATCCAATCAATCAGAATTCCGGAATGTCCGATTTGCCATGTGGAATGTGGGTGATGCTTGGTTTTAAGAAAGCAAGACAAGTTTAGATTCGTTGAGAGACGCCAGAAATGAGCCATTTAGTCTCCATTGTGAACATTGTGGAAGGGCTAGTTTGAACTTGAGTTCCATCTTCAAGCACAGTGACAAATCTCCACTCTGCCAAGCCAATAGTACAGTACCGAGCAAAAGTCTTGCAACATCACTTTTTCAAAAAAATCGATGAAATTTTTTTATAGAAAATGCCACCCGTTCGTAGGGCTTTTTTGTTTTTAATTAGAATAATACATGTACACTTTATTTACAAAAACAATTTGAAGTTCAGCGTAAAACAAAAAAGTAAATGACAAAACTACTAAAAAATACCCTAAAAACTGGGTGCAAAAGTCTTGCAACATTATACAGAAACATCAAAAATTAAGATTCAACGGTCCACCTTTTGCCAAAATCACTTCATTTAATCGTTTAGACATTGAGTCGACTAATTCGTGAACAATTGCTGGGCGAATTGAGCTCCAAACTTTTCGTATGTACAGGGTGCGGCAAAAGTTCTGACACTTTTTCTAAGAGAAATAAAATTTGCAAACTTTGGCAATATTGATCAAAAAACGATAACAAATTGTTTATTGAAGATAAAACTAACAAAAAATCATAACAAATGTTCAAATTTTCCACCCTTGGCCTCGATGCACTTCTTCAATCGCTTGCGGAAGTTGCCGACGATGGTCGCGCATTGTTGAACAGTGATTTCAGCCCAGGCCCTCTTCAAAGCAGCTTTCAAAGAATCCACGGAGTGAAATCTCTTGTCAGAGATCTTGTCTTCCAAGATCGACCAAACGGAGAAGTCCAGAGGATTCAAATCGGGGCTATTCGACGGCCAAATGTCCTTACCCCAGTAGCCCAGAAACAGCTGATTGCAGAGAGCGAGAGTCGAGCGGGCTCCATGGGCCGGCGCCCAGTCCTGCTGAAAGGTAAATCCAGTTTGTCCGAAATGATTCGCTGCCCAGGGCTCTAAGACATCCTTTAACATCTTTTGCTGGTAGATCTTAGCGTTGATTTTCACATTTCGATCGATGAACACAAGAGGCGTCTTTCCTGTGGCACAGATGCAGGCCCACACCATAACGGACTTCGGAAAATGTTGGCGGACCATCAATTTGGCTGCAAAAGTGTCTTTCAGACCTCGCTTGAGAAGTTGGCGATGGTTTTGACGATTGTGGATCGCTTGAACGGTGAAGATCTTCTCATCTGTGAACACAACCTTGTCCAAACGACCAGCAGCGACCAGGTGCAAGATCTTCTTCGCTTTAGCCATCCTCTTTTGCTTCATGGCGTCGTTCAGGAAAAGAGCCCGAGCAAATTTGTAGCTGAACATTCCAAGTTTCTTATGAACAATCCTTCAAACGCTTCTTTCGCTGATTCCGAGACTTATGGCCATCTTTCTCATTGAACAAGTGGGATTTCGACGGATTCGGCATCTGACTTTGTTTGTGTTCTCTGGAGGTGGCTGTGGTTGGTCGGCCGCTTCTTGGACGGTCCTGATCGTTGTCCCGCTTCTTGAATCGTTCAATGGCTCGATAGACAGACTTTTTTTTTGGATATCCGGTGACTCAAACAATCTCCATCGGTATCTTTCCGGCTTTGTGGAACTCAAGTATCACAGTGCGCCTCTTTTTAGCATCCATATTGAAAGCGAACCTAAACAAAAGCGTTGTTTCTTGTTAAAAATCAGGAAAAACAGGTTAACAAATGCAAAAAAACAAAAAGTGAGCCAAATACTGTTTTTTGAAATTTTATACAGCCGTTTGAAAAAAAGTGTCAGAACTTTTGCCGCACCCTGTATATCTATATATTTGATATGATCTGAAAAAATGAAAGTATCGATCATTATTAAAAAATCTAAAGAGTTTTGTTGAAAAAAATTGAGAGAATTGAAATTGAGAAAATTGAGAGAATGGAAATTGAGAAAATTGAGAGAGTTATTCGGGGGAACTTTGAAACTACTCAAAAAGCATAAAAACAAAACAATTTTGCGCGAAAATGAGCTTTTCCGGAAATGAGTTTTTCCGAAAATGAGAACTGGGAACACTTTTCAGCAAGAAAAAGGAACTTGGGGGAAAAAAAGAAAAAGGAAAAAAGAAAATCGTTCATCGGGATATTAAACCAGCAAAGTAAGCTACTTACATTTTGTTGTTCTTTGGTAAGAGAAGAGCCTACAGGGTGACCAGTAAAACACTATTTTTAGACTTTAGTTAATCAAGAATAAGCCTACAAATAGTGTTGCTTTAATTATGTATGTTTAAGTTAATATCGTGTTTCTATATGTGTATTTTTGTGACTCTAAAGAGGGTCGTTGGGTTGGGGGTTATTTTAGCTCACTGGCACGGGTAAAGTTGTTGCACTTGCGATCAGAAGTGGAACCATGGGTTGTCACCAAACTGTTGTTGCCACATGAACTTGTCCAGGTACCGGCCATTGCTGCGGGTCTTGATGCCGTGTTTGGCTTCGATAATCTTTTTGAAGCGATACCACTGATTCGTGGCGTTCTGTGTGTGCGATCCGGTCACTGGATTTAAGAAATTGCTTTGATGATTGACTGTGAGATGACGATAGATTTGAGGTAGCAAGGAGACGTTGGCACGTCAAAGGTCAGAGTGGATTGTGAATGAACGTCTGAATCAATGGCAACATTCTTTTGCGGTGAAGAAGTCCGACATCTTGGAGCCATTGGTTGAAGTCTTCATCTGGCTGGGGTAAAACGGTCGAAACCCCTTAAAAGTACATAATTTCAAAAAATTATTTTGAGTCACTATTTTGACTTGTTCAAAGTATTATTATTTTAAAAAGTTAAAAAAAAAACTCAAAACCCGGAGCTGAGATGTAGTTTTTTGAAATCTACGCATAAAATTACCCCAGAAAAACGATAGAAAAAATGATAGAAAGAAATGTGCCTGTTTCATCTCAGATGGGTTTCCCACAAAAACGACATTTACCGCCTGGGACTGATATTTTGGGAGCCATTCGATCGAAGGTACTATTAGGTTGATGCAAAAGTCTTTTTCATTTTTTTCGTCTGCCGTTTCAAGCCAACAAATGCACCAATTAAACTACGGTTGATTTCATTAGAAAAACCAATTATTTTTCTGCAAAATAACATTAAAACGGGTTTAAAAATATTTTATGCCTGGATTTTCTTGAGAGTATGAAGTCGGGTAGTCAAAAAGGGCTAACTCGATGATGCGGTTTAGACACCTTAGCTAAAGAAAACCTATCTTCGTGTCAATAGATAAAAGATAGAGAAAAAAAAGTTTGATATTTCGCCAAAATTTCAGAAAATTCATTCAGCCAATTTTTCCGTAGAGTTTTTTATAGATTTTTACGAAAAAGCCGTTTTTCACTCTCGAATTTCCTTGAAAGTGAACCGATATTGATTTAAAAAGATGGAAATTGAACAAAAAAACACTTTTTTTATAGAGCAAACTATAGATTAATTGGTGAATTTGTTACTTTTTAACAGAAGTACGAAAAAAAATGAAAAAGACTTTTGCATCAACCTAATATATGTTTTCCCTGAATTCGCAAATCTTTTCAGGATGGTTCTCAATACGAGAAAAGAAACACTTTCGATCAAGATGATTTCTGGGTTGACGTCGCTTTGGGAAACTTTTCCAAAATCGAGACACCAACCTGTCGGTTGATAAAAAAGCAAATCTAAATGCGAAAAGGTGTTTTTCGTAAAAATCGATAAAAACCTCTACGAAGAAATTGGCCGAATCGATTTCTCTGAAAATTTGGCTATTGACCTAACTTTTTGCGCTCTATCTTCTATCTATTGACACCAATATAGGATTTCCTGGCCAAGGTGCCTGAATCGCATCTCGGAGTCGTCACCCTTTATGACTAGCCGACTTCTTGCCCCCAAAAAAAATTCACTCATAAGACATTTTGAATCCGCTTTAATGTTATTTTGCAGAAAAAAAATAATTGGCCTTTCTAATGAAAACATCATGGGTCAATTGGTGCATTTTTTGTTTTTAAAAGGAATTATGAAAAAGGGCGAAAAGACTTGCTTGTCAAACTAATGTAAAACTGATGCATTGAATCATTTAGGGCCAAGACAGTCAACCGCCTCAATCAAGCGACGAAATGCACTAGGAAACTTTATAGATATCAGTTGAACTGTGCACAACAACTTGTCGAACTCTCAACAATGGTCATCGAAAACTCAAATCCAAATTCATTCTCCGGTTCCGGGTCGATGCTCCTTTCAGCGAGGCCCCCAAAAGCCTACCACTACTTTCTTGTCCTGCCCAATTTATTCAAAAATCAAGACGATGGCTGACTGATCCTAATGGATCATCCTAGAAATTACAAAGCTAACGAAATGATTTCCTGTTTTGATTTCAGACTAGATGTCTTTCATGTCCTAGCTGCAGAAATCGCAGAGCACTTGACGGTGATCCCTTTGATGACTTTGAATTTTCTCAAACTGGAAGTTGGAAGCTGGAAGTTGGAAGAATTGGAAGCATGAAATCGTCGATTGGAACGGTGTTTCGATTGCATATTCCATTATCAGAGAGGGAACATGAAAACAATGCTTGGCCAAACAATTTAAGTTTTTTGGCTCTTTTGTGTCGCTTGGTGTAGCTTGAAATTTTCCAAAAACACAGCTGCAAAAACACATTTTATTCAAACAAGTTTTTTTAGTTCTTTCGATTTGAAATGGCAAGATTGCATATGTATTTGTCCTGGGCCCGGTTTCACCAACGTCCCCACTTGCGAGTTTTTTGGCCAAAACTTGCAAGTGGGGGTCAATTGCGCAAGTTTTTGCGAAAAGTGACTTTCACCAACGTCCACTTGCAAGTGCGCAATTGGCAAGTGGGTTTCACAAGCGTCCACTTGGACCTTACTTGCAAGTGGCTCACTAGCAAAACTTGCAAGTCTTGCCAAATAGGCCGCTTACGACGGATATGGCTGTGTAAAGCATCAGTATTTCAAAAACTAACACAAAAACATCTAAACCCAAGTTGATTTTTGAGATTCTCATGATCGAATGCCCCATATAATCGAAAATCGAATGTGTGCCCCCCTTCGTGACTTTGTGAATCAGCTTAAGCAAATTATAAGCACACATAGTGCCAGAGAGTACAGCGGCGGTGCTAAAAAGTTAATTGTTGAAGAGTCGTTTTTGGCAAGGCCTCAAATAACTTTAAAAAACAATTCTAATCTTTAAGGCATGCTATATTTTTTTCAATAAAACAGTCCCCAATTTTGATAAAACATTTTTTGTTTGTCAAAACTTATACGAAAAAGCTTTGAATGCTTTTCTGAAAACCCCCTTGTCCAGGAAAAGACCGGGAATTACCAACGTAAGCCGACCTTTTTTGCTTGAGAGCCGAAAGTGACGCCTCATACGTTTCTTAGTTTTTCAGTACTTCGAAAGAAAAAAAATCATCTGGGACAGCAAATGCTGCTCGTTTATGTAAAACTATTGCTTTTGCCCATGATTTCGTCTGGATTCTGTCCAATCACGCCCTCACGAACGGCCCCGATCACCTCGGTGTCGAGACGGGAAATTTTTCCCGGCGATAATTGGAGAGCTTTCAAGGTTCGGGCAAAAGTTATCTGGAAGTAAAAGTTAGCTGGAAGGCCATGACACTTGTGTTCTTTTTTTCTTTTGGCCGAATGAGCTTGACTCTTTCGGGCAAATGAGCTTAACTCTTTCGAACTTTCAGGCATGTAAGGTGACGTCTGTTGGCTGTAATCTCTGTACAATCACCATGTACGTCTCTGAGCTCGTCGTTCTGTCCCGAGCTGGTTGTAGGCACGAGTTTCAACTCTATGTCAACAACGCGGATTGGACGAGCAGGGACGAGACAGTTATGAGGTTGTTTCAGTGAAACTAGCACTCGTCTATACTAAACATGGGAAAATTCGAAGCGAAACCTAAATTCCACCTTCGCTTTCTTGGCCGATTGCTCTGAAATTTTGTCTACAAGCTGAAAATGTCGAGATTTCTATCTAGACAAATTCAACGCAATCGGCCAAGAATCGGCCAAGAAAACGAAGGTGAAATTAGGCTCGGGCTAGAATTTTCCCATGACTAGTCTACAACTTAGCTGACAATAAATAATAATAATAATTATTGGGTTGGCAAAAAAAAGTCTTTGGAACGATTTGAACTGGAATTCTGTTAAAAACAAATTCACCGATTGAATTCAAGAACACTTTGTTATACTACTTACAAGTCGACTCCAAGAAATTACTCGTAAAAAAATAAGCGCAGCTTTCTCCAAAAACTTTAGAGATCTATGAAAAAGTATAATTCTCCTGCTTAACTTCAGCTCACTTTTCTCTATTAGATAAAACTTGCTTTAATTGCAAATTTTTTGCTGTTTTAAGTACTTGCTTTTAGGTTTTGACTGGGATCTGGGATCGATTACCTATCCATCGATTACCTATCTATGACTGGGATCGATTACCTATCCATTAAAACCCATTAAAAACTCGTCTAAAAGCTGTTCACTCAAAAAGTGACCAATTCATTTCAGCTGAGGAAATCTATTATTTTTTACCTTAAGCCCACTCTAATTTTTAGCTTTTTGAAATATAGCCAAGTTGATCAAAAAAGATTTGGGAAAAATGGATGGCTTGGTTTTTGAGACATCACCGTCCAAACATTTTCCACAAACTTTCTTGCCAACCTAATAATTTTTAAAGAAAGCCCTTATCTCACAGGAATCACGACGGGAAATCCCCGTTCTGCGTGGTCAACTATCGGCTCTTCAGTTTACCCTCCAACTTCACGTTCTCCTATCACACCCTTGATAATTTCTTTCCGATCGCCGACGCGTTTTATATTTTTCATTTGAATGTGTTTGAAAACGGTTTGTTTAGCTGAAAACAATTTCCCAGTTTGTCTGAATTCAGAAATTATATCTCGGGGTAAGATGTTTTTTTGGAAAGATTCATGTTATCTCACCGCCAACCTATAACAAAGCAAAACCAAGACTAAAAACAAAACAATTCCCTTATTATCACACCAAATCTCCATTTCAGCCCCAGTCATCGTCCCAGTCTCGATCTACCCGTTTCCAACAAGTGATAATGCATATATTTCGCTTGACTTTTCCCAACCGAAATCACCGGAGCAACCATATTTTGTGATGTTGGGCGACAAGATGAACGGATCGATCGTCGCCGGGACAATTGAATGGGTAAATAAGCTGACAAGGCTCATTGAAGTTTCATTAGACATTGTAGTAAATCCGGTGGTACCCTAAAGGGTGACCACCAATTCTATTGGGTTGGGGAGAATGAGTCGGCGCCGAAATTTAAAGAAACTTTTTGCACCCATAAAACCTTCTTTAAATACACGTTTTATTTCATCAAAATGGTCCACTATTTCTTTACAAAATGGCTTTTGAGAGATTCCACAAAGCTTTTCTTTTTTGGGATTTTATGGATTCCCAAACACAGCTAATCAAAATGACAAAAAGTCCGACTCATTGCTTGAACAGTTTCTTCCACATAAACCTCCTTTGGTGTTTATATAAAAAAGATAGAGCACACTCAATTACATAAGTTACCAAATTTTCAGGAGGATCCCTCCAACCGTTTACTCTAGATGACAGTTTATCGATTTTGTGAAAAAAATGATCCTTTGTTGAGTTGAGGCTCTGTTTGAGTTCTCTTTTAAATATTATTTTGTAGAGAATTAGTTACCCTTCTACGGATATCAAACGCATATCATTTGACAAAGTCTGCTATAAGTTTTAGAAATTTCTTTGATTTTCGGCGCCGACTCATTCTCCCCAACCCAATAGCAACTCACTTCTGAGGGTCTCATAACTTTTGAAATCGCAGGTTATAAAGAAATACTACGGCTTTCTGGTAGGGAAAATCGCAATCGTCGATTGCTTGAATATTCATCTCTAAATGAAACTTTCAAACAAGGTATGTAACCCCCTAAGAGTTGATAAAACTTTGTGGACCTCCCCAGACACAAATCCCAATGAACAACGAAAAAAACTTTTGAGACGGACTCATTGAGTTCTCGCTGAGCTATTCCCTCAGAAGTGAGTCACTATAATTGGCGGTCATCCTGTAGTAAAACTGGGTGTTCTGTTATTTCCATTTTATGAGTTCAAATCTCACTGTAGGAAACGATTGACCGCGACTGCGCGTTGACCGTCTATTCGGGTACCACAATCGACACAAATCAGGAGCCATGGTTGACGATGAATAGGTTTATTCAGTAAGCACTTGGGGATTGTTTTCTAAACTTCAGTTGTGAAATATCGCAACGTTCCAACGTTCGTTGGCAGGCCACGATCCAGCAGCTCACTTTTCGCGTCTCGAGTGGCCGATGTGCCTTTTGGATGACAATAATGACTGAGGTTTGATGCAAGAAAAACGATACTGTTAACGCATTAAATGATTGTAGGACTCTGATGACTCTTTCCCAAGAGCCGACCATCAATTCTTTGCACAAACGACACCCAATCCCGCATGTGTTCCGACGACGGAGATGTCTAGTCAAAAGCTTGAGAAAGTCTGTTAAGCTACCATAACCTATTCATGAACATTAGAAGCTAATGAAATACTTACAGCAAACGATAATAGAAATGATTCCTAGTCTCAAATCTTTTAAGAATTCAAAACGAAAGACACCATAAATACTGTAATATATCCCAGCCCCATAGTGACGATGCGGAGTCGTGCGTAGTCTAGCTTGGAACGCATTTTTCACGACACTGATTTATGCTACAAAGTGCGCTTAGGTACTTTGTATCAAATAATAGCTGAAATCAAATAATAGCTGAAATTCAGGGCTATTTTTTGATACCAAAGACACATTTTTGGAAGTACGGGTGCTTTGAAACAAATGAAATACTAGAAAAACTTAGTGACTACGCGACTGTACGAGAGGGGTGGGATACTATTACAGTATTTACGGTAAATACAGTGTTGTACTTATGTATTTGAGGTTACCACCACAATTCCACTGGAAACTTCGAAAAACTTGAACAAATTGTGGTTGCTGTGTGTTCCAGTGCTGATTCTTGTATTTGTTTTTGTGCTTCTTGGCATCATGTTGCGTCGCCGAAAGGCTCGGTTTGTAAAAAACTCAGATCACAGAATTTGTCTTTCGTGAGCATCGCCATGCCACGCCATTGGGCTACGGATTTCTTACGTTTTACTTGGAGTGAGTCTAGATTGAATCGCCGAAAGAAGCACTTCCTGCAAGAGCTCTTGCGATTCCCACAACTAAATGCCATAAAACCGGCAGAGATCAGAGACGATTGGGAGATCTTTGTTCCGCTGTTGGTGTTGGAAGAAAGGATCGGCAGAGGGATCTCCTCCGATGTCTTCAGTGGGATCTTTCACGGGAAACTCCCATGCACTCTCGTTAACCCGATGCTGACGGTGAAATGAAAAAAGGGAACTGATTGAACGACTATAGCTTTTTAGACTCTCTTTCCGCCATCATCGATCGGATACACGGTGGCCGTCAAAGTACCCGCTGTCGAGAAAGAGAGGTGAGCTCATTTTGTTCACTTTTGTTCATTTTTCGAGATGATAAGCAGAAAATCATGTATTAACCCCCTGAAAATCAACTTTTTAACACATAGACGACCGCATGACGCAATGCTGAGTCACGAATGTTTCTCGTGAATCACTGAACCAAATGAGCTCAAATTTCCTGTAATTTTGGGTCTTCTTTCCGAATCCGATGTTAGTTTTATCGGGGCTTTTACGTGGTATGTTCTTTTCGTATCGCTCGTAGGAGAAAACGGCGTCTGGCACATTGCTTTGGATATAGGGTCGGGAATTGGATAATTAAGCAAGATCGCGTTTTTCTAAGGTGACCAATAATTTTTGAAGCCTCAAAACAATTCTAGAGGAAATTCTGACCAAAAACTATAGAGTATACATTTATGGAGAACTACTAGAAACTAGAAACTAAAAATAAAATAAAATAAAATCTTCAAACTTTGAAAATAAATGAAAATAATGGAGTTTGTTGGTCTAAATTTACAGCCGCCTTCGAATTCTAGATTCTTTTAAGCCCTCATGTGCTAAGTTAACTTAAAACAAAAGAATCTCTTTTTCTGGGATTTGGCTATTCATTTTAATCCCTTTTCCAAAGGGTCCAAAGTTTCGCAAAATACATTCTAGTGTTAAGGAGTTCTTTTCGCCATCGGATAGCATTTGAAAAGCTCTATCCAACCAAGTGAAAAGATTGTGACTATTAGTTGTCTGGCAATAAGACTACTTGCTCTCGGTGAGCGGAGATATTTGAAACCTTTGTGCACGGGTTGTTTTTTTACTAGTCAGATAAAAACTACAGCACTCGATCCAGAATCTTTTCCGATTCCTCCGGGTTGTGTTCTTGTATTCCGAACACAATTTCTCTTTGCTTTTCTAGTGATCTGGCCGTTAAGCAGTTGGCCGTCAAATTTCTTGGGTCGCCTGTTAACGCCCACGAATCGAATTCTCCCAAGTTTTTCCTAGAAATCTCAAAAAAAAATTCTTTGGATTCTCAAAAAAAAAGCCTTAAGAGAACAAATTCTCCACGAGATCACCTTGATGAAATCCGTGGGCTATCATCCGTATCTGCTCTCGTTGTTGGGTTGTTCGACAAAGCCGGATAATCCGTTGATTATCACCGAGTTATGTGAGCTCGGCAGTTTGTACTCGTTGTTGAAGGAGTTGAATTCATTCGAGAATCATGTATGAGATGGAAAAATTAAAACAAAAGAATCTCTTTTTTCAGATTAATAGCCATTTCGTGTTGCACGAGCGCGATTTGGCGCCGATCCTCTGGCAAGTGGCGAGCGCTTTGGTAAAAAACACATAGGGGCACATTCATAAGATTATTATATTTAAAAGATTAGTTTTTTTAAAAATCTCGATTTTTTTTCGCAATTCCTCTCCTCCAAAGAAATCGTTCATCGAGACGTGGCCGCCAGAAATATTCTTGTCACCATCAACAAGGTGGCCAAAGTTGGTAGAGTCAAAGTTAATCTAGCGTATTTTCTCTAATAGTTGTAACAAAAAATGATGAGGCCTCGCCCTTTCACCTGAGCGATAAAAAGTTGCACCGAATTGCGAGTTTTCAACGAAATTCTCTGAAACCTTGCCATAATATGGATATTCCCTCGACACAACTTTGGAAATAAATCAAATTGAAATTACACATCATTTTATTTTGCAGTTTTTCGCTTTTCTCGGCGATGAGTGAATGAAATTCAATTTGGATTGTTTCCATAGTGGAATATCCATATTATGGCAAGGTTTCAGAGAATTTCGTTGCAAACTCGCAATTCGGTGCAACTTTTTATCGCTCAGGTGAAAGGGCGAAGCCTCATCATTTTTTGAGTTTCACGTAGCAACCCTATTTAAAGTCAATAAAGTTGAACTTAATCTCTATTCATTCACAGCTTTGTGACTTCGGACTGAGTCGATCTTATGGGGATCGCTTGTTTTACCAATCCGTCCAGGGACAATTCCCCATCAAATGGACGGCGCCCGAGGCGATGGAACTACACATTTTTACCGAGAAATCTGATATGTGAGTGAAAGATAAACAGTCTCATCTCCAACTTCTCTCACAAGGGAAAAGCAACAGTAGGATGTGGCCAAATGAGATCAGACCAGACCATTCGACGCAGAATTTCTTGCACTCTGATTCCCAATTTGTTTTTCGTTTTTTGCGAAACCACTTTCTTTAAAAAGTTATACAGTCGTCAAAAAGGGTCTCTGCTGTGTTTTATCATTTTATCAACCAATCATTTTTCTTCCATCAGATCGCATTCAAGTTGAAGATGATATTCTTAGATTTTTGATGTCGCACTCCTATTTGGCCCCAAATTTACGCATTTTTACCCTAAAACTTAAAACACTTATAACTTTTTATAGAAAGCTATTTTTTTAAAAACGAAAGGGAGATTCGGAATCAGTGTGAAACTCTGCGTCGAATGGTCTATGGCTCATCTCATTTGACCACATCCTATTGTTGCCTTTCCCTTATCAGTTGGTCATACGGTGTTTTGATGTGGGAGATGTACTCGTTGGGAGAGGAACCCTACTCGGAGATCCCGTCGATTGACCTCCTCCAGACGCTGCTCCGCGGCCACCGACTTGCACCACCACCGGGAACGTCGAAATTTTTGTGAGTTTTTTGAAAAAAAAAGCAACGCCTAATTAGTCTTTTAAAGAATCATTTCAACTTGACCAGAATTAAAAGGTGTTAAGGTCCCTGTTAAAACATGCTTACTTCAAACTGCCTGATTTGACAAATTTACAGGGTGCGTCAAAATTACGGAAACACCTTTTCAGCAGATTGCATGCCAAAGGTCGCAATCAATTCATCAATTCAAAAACTCAATTCATATTTTACCAAAATCGCCGAACATCCAAAGTCAGAAAACAGCTAGAGATGGAAGCGTGCTGGAGACTGGAGAATTGGGCTCATTTGAGGGTCTGAAAAATCTCCAATCAAAGATCTTTTGTAACAGAAATTCAGGCTTCAATTCTCTATATAACACTTAGGTTTTTGAATTGATTGCGACGTTTGGTCTGAAATCTGCTGAAAAGATGTTGCCGTGATTTTTTTTTTTTTCGTGATTTAAAATTTCCGGTCACAACGGAGACTACCACATTATCATGGCTTTCAATTAGCAAACAATTTTCCCGATTTGTTAAAACGATTATCGATCATCCACTATATTTTAGTTTCCAAGAATTTTGACTGCTATTTTAGGGCCGATTTGATGCTGGACTGCTGGGCGATCGAAGCTCACACGAGACCGACATTCACACAAATTGTCAGCTCTTTGCAAAAGGAGGTGAACCCCGAGAACGCCGGATATTATTTAACGTTGGAGCCGTGAGTAAGAATGAACCTTAATGAATACACGACACTGACAGAAATGACTACAAGCAAATCGATGAGAAGATCGAGAATGCTCATCAATGATGAAATGATCGCGAGAAAACTTTTGATCACAAGGAATCGAAAAGAGAGTTCCTAATAAAGTCTTTTCAAAATTAACGTGAAATATTTCATGATATGAACCAGCTTTATTCATCCACCTCTGCACAAAGTACAACAGTTAAAATATACAAAAAAAGCCATGCACACACTCAGCAACCCTTTGCCAGTAATTGGCTTTCGTTGAAGCGAAGGTCGGTTTGTGAGACAGGTTTTCCAACAGGAGATCATCACTTCCGAACTGGAATTCGGCATTGTCAACGATTCCAAGGCGGTGATCAAAGCATCGTAGGACACCAAGGACGCCAAGGACATCCATTTGAAAGCAATAACTGCTTGATGTACATTATTGGATAAATTTTATTTATATATTAGTTTGGCGGTAAAGTCTTTTGATACTTTTTGTTGTGTAATTTCCCAAAGCTTGTTGAAGGCGCTGAGAGCATGTGGTGAGATGTAGGCTTTTGACTTACATTTTTTCTTCCAGAATTTTTTATAATCAATCATCTGCCTTAGTTTAAGTGTCATTGGGGTAGAGAATGAAAATTTCTACAAACATT